CGTACATATTCACACATACATTCACACAGCCATACCACACAGAGAAACACACGTACACGACACACTCGCGCGAGACACGTGTACGCGTGCGCGCGCGTACACGGAAGTATGTACCATTATTGTATCACGGCGTAGGATAAAATGTTGCATGTTGTTTCTATAATATGTGTTTTACGGATTGAGAATCCTTTATAGATGTCGTGTGTGACACAAAGGCTTTGACGAGAGACGAGGGTTTCACAGCGTAACTCGGTTCGGGCGCGCGCTTTCGAGAGAGAGAGAGAGAGAGAGAGAGAGAGAGAGGGTGAGAAGGGGAAACCATCGTTATCATTCGGTATCGCGTCGCGCAGGCAGCCAAACTTCGGGTTGTTTCAGGATGACAGAGAGAAGAGACTTGGCAGAGGGTGGAAAAAGGTTGGGGGGAGCGAAAGAGAGCGGCAAAAAGAAGGCTGCCCGCGAGAAAGGGCGGGAAAGGGAGGAGAATGCGAAGCAAAATCGATGTCATCACTGCACCTACACCGCGCGCAGAGAGTGTGCACTGGCAACTACTGTACCGTTTGCTCGTATAGTATATAATAGTACTATACCGTAGTTGATAATGATTACATAGTACATGTGTATCATGCACGCATAAACATATTTAAAAGACGACGAGGCAAAAGAAAAAACGAAAAAAAAGAACAAAAAGGAGAGGAAGCGAAAGAATGGGGGTGGGGTATATATGTGGAAAGAGAGAGATAGAGAGAGGGGGGAGGGGGAGGAGAGATAGCGAGAAAGCAAAGGGAGAAAAGGAAAAAAAAGAAGAAAAAAATGTAAAACAACACACGGCGTAGCGATGTCGCAGAGCGGGACCTCGAGTGTCCGGGGGACGAGCGGCTCGTTCCCCGGCCGCGACTTATAGTACAAAGTAAATATAATGTTAAGGGTTCAAATGGGAAAAGAAAAAAGCAGAACGTGGATTTGGTAAACTTACTGTAAACACACGCTATGAATCATATAGACGAGAACGAAGCAGAGCGGAGCACGGAGCAAGGAAGAGAGAGAGAGAGAGAGAGAGAGAGAGAGAGAGGGAGAGAAACGAGAAAAGAAGGAAGGAAAACAAATCACCGCGCGCTGCGTACCGCGGCCAGACGCGTCGAAGGCCGAGGAGCTCGCCGAGGATCCCGTTCCTTCCGCTTGGTCGGCCTCCGCTCACGGAGCCCAACGCGATCACGATGATGATTTCGCCCGTAACCGCAACGTACCTAGATCGATAGGGGATCCACGAGGGCGTCTTACCGGGTCAGCTCGAACGCTCGAGGAACTGTCGAGGCACCGTCCCGAAGTTCGGGACGCGAGGATGAGGGCGGATTTTCGCGACGATACGTTCCTCGAGCGGCCTCGAGCGGCGCGAGACGTCGTGCGTGTGCCTATCTCGTGCCCGCACCTTATCTTATCAACAATAAGACTGATCTTTCATCGTGGCGACGTAAACAACAACACTGCCACAGAGGCCGAGACACTGCGCGGGATTTCCGCGAGCGAGCCTCGCCGTCGACGCGTCTCACGGCCGCCGCAATAACGGATCACACAATACTTCGTCACGCACTAGTACAAATACTACCTCACACACGACATACAGGGTGCACAGAATGAAACTTACGAGAAAAAGAAAGTTTCTGTATATAACACAGTGAAGCGAGATAGTTTGCAAGATCGGATCGGCGTGTCGCGCCGCCGCCATCGTCGCTATCGTCGTTGCCGCCGCTGGCTCGTTTTCATGGAGCCTCGGAAGTTCGCTCGAAGAGCTGGACGACAGCTGGAATAAAACAGAAGGACGAAGACGAGCGGAGGAAGGACGAAAAGACGAAGGAGTTTAGAATCTCTCTATGTGCAAACGGTGACTGGCGGTGGGTGAACGGTGGATGGCGACGCGTCGCGCGTCCTTCTCTCAGGAATATGAAAACCAAGTACAAACTACAAAGTATAATAGTCGGTAAGGTTTTAAATAAACATAAATCAATGAATCAAGCGATGCAATAGTGTCGGCTGTATAATAGGGACTGCGTCGGTGTGTTCGTTCGTTAAGACCTTCTCTCCGACATCGCCGGGAGTGACGACTTTGATGACCGCCGCGAATCTTCGAAACGGAAATCACCGGTTTCTCCCCTCGCGATTTTCCCGCTCGACAACCTCCTGTGTGTGTATGTGTGTGTGTGTGTCAGCGCCATTATACATACATACGTACATACATATATATATATATATCCACACATATATATATATACACACGTATATATATATATATATATATATATAAAGGTATATATATATATGGATGTATATGTGTGTATGTATATATACACACATATATATGTACATATATATGTACATATATATATATATATATATATAGAGAGAGAGAGAGAGAGAGAGAGAGAGAGAGAGAGAGAGAAATAAATTATATAGCGGGTCCACGCGCTCTTTCGAGTTTCTTTTACGCGATTCTATATGTATCTTGCGATTGCACGCGTGAATATTGTTTTCGTCAGTATACATCTGTTCCACGTGGATTCGTGCCACGTTCGACGTCGTTGTTTTCTCCTTTCCTCTTGTGGCGATATATCGGTTAAACGGTCGTTTTCCGTCGGTCGGTTTCTCATCGGCCGCTTGTATCTTACCGAGTCGGATGATTTGTTTTTATACGATATATACGAACGTAATACGGCCGTATCTTTGGAAAAAACAAAAGGGAAAAATTCGGCACAATACAGACGCATGTTAAAGCTTCAGCTTGATTTTCATCTGCTCTTGGCTGGACTCGAGGATCACAGTCGGCTTGCGATCGCGATAGGATTCTCAGATTTTCATGTTTAACGAGCGACCGTCGGATTTTCATTCAGTTTCCCGACTTCTTCTTTCGTTCCCTCCGAAACAGGAGATACGCCACTGCCGGTGGCGGTGAAGTGCGAGTTTCTTCGCTCCTTCGTCGAACGTAAACATTCGTTTTTTCGTTCAGTAACAATACCGTTCGAAAAGAAATACTGATAAGACCTCTCATCGTGCTCACACACAAGCATACCATATACGCACATAATAAGACATATATGATAGGTATACGAAACCGCTTCTACCTCAGACACTCCGTATCTATATTTATAAATATAAATATATATATATATATGTATATATATATATGTATATATATATATATATATATATATCGATAGTTGTATGCGCATTATCTACGATTTCACCGGTTCCTCTGGTCTCGCGAAATATTATTTATGTTCTTCGTGTCCTATCATCGCCGTGTAATCGCGCCGAGCGAACTCGTAGGTGTGCCTCAGTGTACATGCACAGTGGACAAAACAGCACACAAATGAGATTTATACGTAAATAGACATTGCATATACGTGTATATATACATATATATATATATAAATATATATATATATATTTAAATATATATATATACACATATATATTTAAAGAGATAAAGAAGAGAGATAGAGAGAAATAGAGAAGAGAATAATATGCCCGTGTCAGACCCTCTACGAAATATATATATACATATATATGTACATATATATATATATATGTATATATGTATGTATTTATATATGTACCCCTTCCCTCTCCTTTACCCAAGTCTATGTAAATACAACCGTTTATATTTATTTATTTATGTTTCTATGCGCTGGACGCGTCTATGTTACACGCAATTGCAAATTAATCGATAATTATCCTTATTGATAAACGAGAGAATATAAAAACTCATTTTTCAATATAAATATATTATATATATATGAAGGAGTATATATATATATATATATATCTATATGCATATATATATATATATATGTACACACACATACACACACAGCATACATAGGTAGTTATATATCTAATATTAAGGATATACTTGTTTAGATCTTAAGTGACCCTTGTCGCGCGTCGTGGTCCCGCAATGCGACTGCACAACACTTTCCGAATGACTAAAAGGGGACTCTATAGCGAAATAAAACTAAAAAAAAAATACGAGAGAAAGGGAGAGAAAAAATGAGGAGGAAAACAAAAAATACGGCGCTTCATGCATCCGGTGACGCGGTGCACGTCCGGGCGAGCTTCTTCCGCTTTCAAGAGGACGGTGAGGGTGAAGGGGCCCTCACGTGCGCGTTTTGCGCAGCGGAGAAATGCTCGCGAGGCTTGTCTTGCGTCGGCGAGCGCTTCTCGAGAATTCCCGTCGCGCGCACTCGCCGCTGATGATTGCTACCGGGCGCTTAGCTAGCCTCGTTTTCTCCGCAGCTACGAGATATTCGTATGAGCCGCGAATTGGATTCAATCGAATTAAGTCGACTCAGCTGGCAGAGCCGATTCGCCCCGCAGATCAGCGCGAGTCGCGAGTCGCGGTTTCTCGAGTACTCTCTCGGATAGTCACGCCGGCACAGCGGGAACCTGACCTCGACCGAGACGAGACACCGTCGCGTTCGGCCGGGGACGTGCCGGGCAGCCGCACGATTTGCGGATCCACTTTTCGTTCGGCTCGTGCCACGTTGTTTTTGTTCGTACTAGACGCGCTTCTCGCGTGGATAGGAACCTGTCGTCGAGGAAGTCACCTCTGAGACGGGCGCGAGGCTCGCGGCGTGCGCCGCGAATACGTGGTTACCAATTTTGTTTTAAGTTGAAAGATTAAGTTTACGTTACGAATTATTACTGTAAAACGGGGTGGACAGATGGGAGAGAGAGAGGGGGGAGGGAGGGGGAGGGGATGGGCGCGCCAGAGAAACAGACAAAGACAGAGAGAGAGAGAGAGAGAGAGAGAGAGAGAGAGAGAGAGAGAGAGTTTATCTGTAGTGTGAGCAAAGCGCGCACGGGCATAGTTGTGTTTTGGAACATGTGAAACGACACTTCGTGTTATTATTACGAACTGCTTTATTTATAGAGACGACATAAAAGCACGTGCGTGCGTGCGTGTAAGTGTGCGAGTGATTGCATGAAGAAGAGAGCGAGCTGGCGAGAGAAAGCGAGAATGATCGATGCGAAGAGAAACAAATGCGAAATCATGTTAGACGAAGGAAGAGAGAGAGAAAGAAAAAGAAAAGGAGAGAGAGGCAAGACGCGCAAGGGATGTGATTAGGAAGGACGTCGAAACTCTGCCATCGCAAACGATCCCGGACGGGAACACCGGGGTATGGAAGTTTCCCTCCCGTGAGGATGGGAGAGCGGGGAGGGTGGGGAAGTATGAGGGGAGCGAAAAGCATGTAAAAATAAAAAAATATATAAGTTTTTTTTTTCTTTATACTCCGAGCGCGGACGGGGTGGCAGGGATTCGTGGCTATGCCGTTGAGTGTAACTCACCCTTTTTGTTTGTATAAAAATTAATCGAAATTTAATTAGACTATTAATAACTGTTCGATTACTGTAAAACAATGAGAAACTTTACCATTAATTATAAATTACAAAAAACTTGAAGCACGACGGACATTTTTCACTTTTCCCCTCCCTTTTTCCTCCTGAAGGGCCCGGAATCAACGATCAGGAGCGCAATGGATTCCCGGATTGGCAATTGAGAGTAAGTAATGCGTCAATTGCGAATGCCTCGCTGTTCTTTAATCAGTGTGTGGCGCGCGCGCGCGCGCGCGCGCATGTATCATGTAACAAGCAGGTCAAAGCGCTCAGTTAAACGCGCGGCCTATGATGATATCTGACGCACGTTCCGCCATCGCGATGAGAACTGAATTCGGTGTGCCGGATATTGGAAATGGCACTACGCTGGCGTCCATTATCCTTAATCCGTTAACGCCTTTTACCCTAGAGAGAACAACAGTGCACTTTTATTATAATTACCACGGTGGGTTCTAACGGGTCAACGTTCACCGGCGCGAAGGCCGTCATTACAGTATAAGAAGGAACAGTAGGTTCACTCGGTGGCGGTGCTTTTGATCTCAGGTGCTACAAGACCGCCATGTTACTGGTTGTGCGAGGGTTATAATTTGAATGACAATGAATAGTAGCTAAAACAGATTTATTGCTGTTTTTTCAATATTTACTGTCAAATCTATAATATACGTTATAAAATAATATAAAAATATGAACTATTATTGATATAATATGTTAATGATATTATAATTAATAATATATAGCATGTTACTAATTATAATATAGAAAGATATGTATATATACACACAGGGTGCTAAATTTCAAACGTAACAGGTAAAAAATCTCGAAAACTAAATGATACTGAGGTCCGCCTCTTTTTTATATTGTATCGTTTCGAAGGGGGCACATTTTGATTGAAAAAAAAATTTAACACTTTGCAAATTTAAATTTGCACTTTTGCAGTTTATTATACAACATTTATACCCACCTCTTTCGTTCATTTTACTGATTTTAATGAAACAACAATATTATATTAAAAATTCGGTCATATGGTTAATCGTTGCTTACACTTACACATTTTGACAGCTATTGGCCGCCGTATTGTTGGCTGTGCAGTCAACAATACGGTCATGCGCGACAAACGACCGTTCGCACTATTTTGTGCTGAGTGAACCTATTGTTCTTTCTTATACTGTGCCGTCATCTCTTTCACCTTAATTCCTCGTCCACAACCGCGTCGTCGTCGCCGTCGTGCGCGCCTATTCGGCATGTGCCGCACGGGTGGTGGCTCGTGAGACCGGCGATCCTCATGACGCACTCCGAGTAATCGATGTCCCGATAGTCCTGCCGCAAATGACGACACTCTTCCAAGTCGGGCACGTGAGCCTCCGCACCGTACTCGCGAAAGAGTTTCGTGTCGAGAGTCTCCAGCGCGAAGGTTATAGCTTCGGGGGAATAGCCGAAATTAATCACACCATTTTCGCACGCAAACACGTGACTGGGTGTCCTTTCTTCTTCCGCTTCTCTTACGGTCCGTCTGCTCAACGCAAACAAGTTGCTTCGCGAGAACAATCGCGGTTACCTACCTCGGTGGGTGCACGTGACGTCACGGGGGTCCTGGAGGTATGCCGGGTTGATTTTCGGCGGATCGCGAATGTTGGTCGAGCGCAGCGTAATGTTTCCGCGACTCTTGGGTTGCAGACATGACACGAGGTAGATGAAGCCCTCGTGCATGCTGTCGTTATACGATGGAAACAGCGACCTGTACGCCTAATCGACCGCGAACGTTAATCTCCTTGAGTCGACGCACTATTAAAGATGTGCCGACTATTCGAATCGGAGTTCTTACTGTTCAGATCCGAACTGTTCGGCGACCTCGAATTGCGGATTCGAAAATTTAAATATATTCCAGACCCGGCAAGTAAAGAGGTTTAGTATCGATTTTTAGCTAAGGCGATGTTTTTCACGACTCTTAAGAGAAATCAATTGATGCGAAATTGAATAATTAGAAAAGACGGTGGAAACGATAAAGTAACGACCACGTTATTATTTTAATCACAAGAAAGCTAAGTACCCGTTCCAGTTAAAACACGTTCTGTGCGCATTTATTGTTTCTATTTTCATTCTTCGATTAATAAGCGTGACGGACAAATAATAGACACAAACGAGAGAAAAATGGGTGGTTATGCATATTAAGGGACACTTCGCCGATGACCTTGAACTTCGTATATGTTGTCGTGTCTCTGAGTAACTTACAAAAAGTTTCAGTCGACGGTCATTGTTTATTAAAGAGTTATTAACAAAAGAAGTTTCATTAATCGAGCGTAATTTTTCGACACTGTACATTTAACACCTAAAACTTGTAGAAGGTTACTTTGGAACACAATATATATGAGCGGGAAAGCGCTCCCTCGCACCGCCTCCCCAAAAAATCCTAACTTAATCTAACTTATTGCATCTTTACATATTGTTGGGCGTTGTTGAAAAGATTAAAACCTTTAAAATCCACGCCCAACAATATATAAAGGTGCAATAAATTAGGTTTGATTAGGATTTTCTTGGATAGGGGGTGCCCCTTCCCACTAGTATGTACTATTTAACATTTTTTAATGTACATCCGAGATTTAATGCATGTTCGAGATGTATTATATTGAATATGCAAGAAGTTGCATTTCATTTTTCCTCTTTCGACCACGGATAATTTTATAATAGTGGTTTATATAACGAAATAACAAATATCGATCTTAATTCTACATTAAATGTAGAAACTCGTGAAGTAACATCTTAACTTCAAAGTTCGAGATGTATTGAATATACAAGCAACACTTGCTTTGTTTATAAACAGTACGTGTCTCTAAGAATGCGAAGTGTCTCTAAGAAGCCTCTTCTCTGCTCACATATGTATAAAGTTTACCGTACCTAAATGTACACTGTGTCAAGAAATTACGTTCTATTAATAAAACTTCTTTCGTTAATAACTTTTTAATAAACGATAACCACCGACTGAAACATTTTGCAAATTACTCAGAGACAAGTTCTTGATAACATATATGAAGTTCAAGGTTATTAGTGAGGTGTCCCTTGATATGCATAATTACCGAAAAATATTCAGTTGAATAAAACAATCTTCTAATGAAACATGAGCGATTCAGAAATTCCGATTGGAGTTATCAGAATTCAGTCCAATTAAAAATTCAGTCTAAATTACCAAAATTTCAGGTTAACTTGAATAGAATATTTCAACAGATACATTCAATTGGAATTTTTGAACCGTTTATATTTCACTAAAAAATTAGTTCATCCAACCAAATATTTTGCAAATATTTTTGTACAGTGATCACTGCGAGCGAAATGTCAATCACGTAACGAGCTACCTATTTTTGCCGAGAATGAAGACTAGAAGACAACAAACAAGTGCTAGTAAACAATTCTATTTTACAAAAATCAACGTTTGTTCACCTCGGTTTCAAAATTCGAGATTTTCTTGAGCAATTTCTCCTCCGTGGAAGCCACTCCGAAGAGAAGGAGACCACTGTTATTAGCTCGCCCTAATCCCATTACACCGTTAGTGGCCAACCATCCTTTGACATGCAACAAAGAAAAAAGATACACTGAGAGGAAAGTATTTGGTATTTGTAATTATAGTCGCATAATGATAGAATTGTAGCCAGAAGAATTATTTATGTAATAAGTATCATTATAGTGTTAAAACGATAATAACTATTTATGTGTATCGTAACTACTATTTTTCTATTGGAAGAGCAAGAAGATATTGTCAAGGCCAGAAATAACTATAATTTTAGTAACATTAACTATTTCTTTTTCTCAGCGTATACGATGGGATTGAACCGTCAATTGGACGTCGCAAATTGAATCGCCGCGACTTTATCGACACGCAATTCATGATGATATTTTACCGGTTCCGAAGGCGAAATAATTGAACACTTCCGGCAAGGTTTGCAGCTTCACGAGCGTGATACTGACGCGCTCTCGCAGATTCACGTAAACCGGTACATTTAGATGGTCAAACAAATTCCGGCCTACCCCTGGGAGATCTCGTACTATAGGTATCTGCAAGAGCGGACAAACTGTTTCACTCGAAGTTGAAGAGGTATACATACGAATTTGGTAACGCTGAAATTATCTTCACCTTGTGCTTTTCCAACTGCCCGACAGGCCCAATGCCGGAAATCAAGAGTATCTGCGGAGTGTTGACGGTGCCTGCGCAAAGGATCACCTCTTTCCTCACTTCGACTCTTCCAACGGAGCCATTTTTATAAATTACTTTAATACCGTTGACCTTGTTATTCTTGAAAAGTACCTGTTTTCATCAAAACAGAAAGAAGAGAGAGAGAAGAAGGAAGAAAGGCAAAGATAGATATGGGCGAAGTTCGAAATGACAGGAGAGATAGATAATTATCTCGACAATAAATTTTCTACTAGGTCGTCGAGGCAAATTCGCTTTTTCTTCTCTTCTTTCTCGTGAGATGCTTCATTGAAATGTTACATACAAAAGTACAAAGCGGATATGCATACAAATGTAAAATATTAAAGACAAGTAAGACATGCATATATAAACCCGAAAACCAAAATCTTGAAATTTAAGAAGTAGGATAACGTTCCAAAACATGCACAATCCTGAGAAAAAAGTACCAAAAATTCAATCGCTAAAACTAAACACCGGAATAATTTTCCGAAATACTGAGAGCATGAAATATGCTTCCATCGCAAAATTATGACAAAATTAATACACATTGCGTTGTTGTACGTCGCATCATTATAATTAAGGATGTTTATCTCAAAGGATGTTTAGTCCAAAAGGCTTTGGACTACATGCTTTCGTTTGTCGCATACAGATAACGTATACCGTTTCTATTACATCAGTTCTAAAATTTGTTGGCCACACTGTGTGTATATGTATATACCATTGAGTACTTTGTTTATTATTTGGCATTTTACTTGGCTGTATATCTTTCAAATTGTATAAAGTTAAATGAGATAGCAGGACATTTTGTTAATATGACCCCATAAGAATACTGATAAATACTGTCTCTTTTTCGAAATTTTTATACCAAAGTAATTATGTCGATAAGTCGATTCTAATCTGTAGTCTACTGTTGCACTCATATTTACACTATATTGCTGTTGTTTTTGGCAAATTGTGTTTCCTAACAAGTAAGTCAATATTCATATTAAAAATTCACAGTTATATTCATTATTATTCCCCTTCTAAAAGTTCAATTTGAATAAATATATAATTTCAGAAGATTGCCTGTATATTTTAATGTTCGAGATTGTAATTGTTCGAGATATGATCCCTCATTTCTTGAATTTCTGTAGATCTTTTTTCTTTCGGGATTATGAACGTTTATCAAGTACGAGTGTTACGCGTTTCGGCACTGTATAAGAACTCCTTACTTTCGCGACGAACGTGTTCATCAGGATGTGTAAGTTTTTACGATTCCAAGCCCTCTGCAGATACGCATGGAATGTGCTCCATCGAGCGCCCTTCTTAGCGGTGTACATCGCTTTCCGCAAGGATACATTGTCCAACTTCAAGCTTTCCTCGGCCAGTACGAAAGCCTTCGCTAAGTACTCCTCTTCCGGTATCGGGATCACGTTCATAATATCGGATACTTTTTGGAAATAGGGAAGCAAATCGGCATGCGACCAGCCCTTCGGCCATCGCTTGTAGTCCTCGGGTCTCCCGAAAGAATGAACGAGATAATTAAGCTGCCCACTTCCACCCAGTCCTTTCCCCCTCGGCCAGTTTTGTCTCTAAACAAACGTGCTTGATAAAGTCGCCCGCCACGTGTCTCTCGGAAATATACATGGAAGGTATTCAGCGTAAAATCAGCAAAAGTATTACAAAAGAGCACGAGACGATTCATGATAACTCGGCGCGATCTCATATTAACGTGCATATTATTATTATATTTCCATAATTTTATAATTTTATTATTATCATTATTATTATTATGACTGTTATTATTATTATATTTTTACAATTATATATTATTGTATTGTTGCTTTTATATTATTGTTGTTATTATTAGTATTATTATTATTTAGTATTATTGGTATTATTAGTATTATTATTATTTGTTTGACGACCATAGCAATCGGCAGCCGAGAGTGACATATTTTCGTAAGTCATGTCTTACGATAAAGAAAAGGGTTGAGCTCACCGTAGATTGTTCTCACGACTTTTTGTTTCACGGTCGAATGAAAGAAGTAGAGCTTTAATTACATAGTTGTTGAGCCCTCGGGACGAGAAGACTTGCGGCTCCGTCTTGTAGGCCCAATCGACCTCGGTGCCTTGCATCATCGGCGCCAAGAGCGGCAAACTCGATAGCCAGCCGAAGTGTCCGCCGGCTTCCACGAGTAGGACAGTCACGTTCGACATTTCCGAGAGCCGTGACGCGATCACGCAACCGGACGTACCAGCGCCGACTTCAACCCAGCAGCAACGAGAAACATAAATTACATTGTTGACAATTCGCAAAGCTTATGCTCCGCAAAGCAAAGATAATTCGCAAGAATCTGCGGTTCGTTTTCTTCGGCGCAATGCCATGAATGCCGGCGAAATGCCGAAGCGTTATTGTATTGTATATTAACTTTACGAGACGTTAGTCGAGATAATATTCATCGTAAATCAAGCGAATCGCACCGAAAAGTACGAACTTGAAAGTCGAGAGTCGAGATGAATTAGATATAGAAATTGGTGGAAATGTATATAGTTTGCGTAAACATCCGTTTAATTATTGTCTACTATGTTAATGAATTTTTATTAGATGCAAAAATTATAGAAATATAGGGATAATTACAAAAATATCAGAAATTGGACAAAAACTTGATGGAAACTCGTTCAGTAGTTGAAATATTATCGTTTATCATATAACATGTGGGCTGATTCTTTCCAAGATATTTCTTATGCTATGTCTCGCATTAATTTCAAAATTTTTCTATTAACAAGCATGCACAAAAAATGATATAACATATTACTAAGGTAAATATATCCACATTATGATTACATCAAATTTGATTATTAATAAATTGAATAGTTCTCCGTTCATTTACTGTTCTATTTTTGTTCAGCAAATTGTTTTAGGTTTTGTGAATCTTTCGTGTGAAGAGAAAATGTTATTTTTTTATTAAATTTAAAGGATTCTAAATAATTTTGCTTTTCAGTTTCTGGGTAAAAAGTAATCTAAACTCGATCGAAAGGTAACCTAAATTGTACCTAACTGTCCAGTAGTTGCATTAAATTTTTATCTCAGGGAAAATTCTCCTTTTTCCTTTCCTTTTTTTTATTTCATTGAAGCATTCGCGAAGGAAAGCTGCGCACTAAAGCGCTCTCGTATTTCAAATTTCGTTTGTGTGGAGAAAAACCAGAGAAACGCGCAGAACTGATATTCTTCGATGACTCTTATTTCAAAATATATTAATTTAGAGTAACGTGATTTGTCATTGCGAAATGGGGCGCGAATACTTTTTTATTAAAAATCGATGCAGTCTCTCTCTCTCTCTCTCTCTCTCTCTCTCTCTCTCTCTCTCTCTCTCTCGGCTAATTATTATCAGGAGCAAGGAAGCGAGAAAGAGGAAGGATGATCCTGGAGTTGTGAGGATACTGCCAGTGAATCCGATAAGCGGTAAATTGGGAAGCGAACTCACCGACTACGTAGTCGTAATACGTCTCAGGATAATCGATAACACTGACTGGCTCGCTGAAATAATAATGATAGAACAAAGACGCCAGCAACACGACGATTGAGATCAATACGTGGCACCACATGATTTCCCGTCGAAAAATCCCTTGCCACTTAAATGAGAGATAGAGAGAGAGAGAGAGAGAGAGAGAGAGAGAGAGAAAAAGAGAAAAAGAGAGCACCACGTCCTGTCGACGATCGCTTCTCGATGTTACTGAGCGTGCGAACGTAGTACCTCGGAACTGTGACGTCTCTACGCAACACTGTTCGATTCCAATATTAAATTAGTAGCCTTCTTTTTCCGTTCGTAATCGATACTTGTCTATAAGTCCTGTCATAGCTCGAAGCAGTGCGCCAACGGCCGATGTACCGTGGTGGCGTTTGTAGAGATGAGAGAGAGAGAGAGAGAGAGATTGGATAATTCCACATCATTTGATCTCACCGTTTATTGATATTGTTTTTCGGCGCTTCGAATACCTATTTCGGATTTCCATCTGCAAGATGGCCTTTCACACTTCGTACGATATAAATGGTTAGGTATTAGAAGCAAGAATAAATTCAATATCTTTATTATAATTGTGTGCTTTCCTTTAGAGCACAACAATAGGTAACCTTGACAGTATTCTTTAAAAAAAGAAAAAAAGGAACAAACGAGGAAAGAAAAGAAACATTTATCTTACATTTATGGAATAATATATGGATTGCATTGCAAGGGACATTTTTCTTAAAGTTGCTGATGTCGCCTGTGCTTCTCACCGTGACAGTATAAAAGTATTTTATGAATTATTGTATCCACATGAAACATATTCGCTCATGTTAATTATTATAATTATTTAAATATTAATGTAATGAAGAATGTAAGAAGAAAGAAACAGATAATAAAACATATATATATATATATATATACATATAAATGATAATATATATATATATATATATTTATATATATATATACATATAAATGATACTAAACCTACTATTTTACCTGCGAATATAACAAAGCAAGTGGATAGTAAAATAACTGAAGATTTAGAAACATAATAAGAAAATAAGAAGAGTAAAAAAATATACTATAATGCAAGCACTTCCCAAAAGGGATACGCTACTTGTCGATTGTATTCGTGACGCCATTTATGAATTTACGAACGGAACTTTATCACTTTTGCCAGATAAGGGAAGAATGTAGATACACAAGGCGCGATCGATTTTGAAAGTTGACAGTTCGGTCAACCTTGTCGAATAACCAAACATTATTTCACAAATGGGAAGTTATAATTAATTATGATTCTCATCAATCTTTAAGAAATCGATAGTTTGCGTGGAAAATGGCTACGAGTTGCGCAGAAATTACCTTCTGTAAATAACGCGAATATTGTCAGCCTGCAAGTCTCTCTTCCACAGCTGCTCGATCTTGCTCTAGGGACGCCAGAAATGAGGCAATAATGAAATATATAATTACCAATGCCGCATTATCTAGGACAAAGAAACTGATGAAATTATCGGTTTCAGATCGGCGCAGTTATTTCAATATCCTTCATAATTTCCTTCAAGTCTTGTTGCATTAGATAGATTTGTAAGCTACTAAAATGGAGTATCGCGGCGAAAATGTAAAACGTATTAAGATACGATTAAATTCAACCGTAAGTCGACTAAATCAGCAATATACAATGACTGTGTTTCACGTACGTTTACGCGAGGATTGTTGCGGACGATGGTAACGTTCTTGAAGCCAGAACCTTTCCTTCGTCTTCAGGAGTATAGCGTTACCGATAGTATCGGCAAAATATCCCAACATATATCAGAAACTGACGGTACAAGGGTTGAAAATACTTGCGAAAGGTACGTACAAGGTAGACCTTACGAGAGAAAAATATCTCAAAGTTTTATATTTTTTTTTATACCTATTGAATTTAATTTATTTTACCATTTAATTTGTTTTGTATCCAACCGTCAGCTGAGAATGACTCGAAAGTAACAAAAGGTATGAAGACACGAATAAGTCCTGAGAAAAACATCGAAACTGAAATGATTATATTTGTAGAACCCATTGTAGATGGCTCGATCTCTACGATATTGGAATTTAAATAACTCGAGCAATCTGTACACTGGTAGAAAAATATAGTTGAATTAACTATAATCTCACTATATTTTATAGTTCATTTTGGCGTCAATTATATTTTTATAGTTCGTGGAACCTGCAAAATATAGTAGAATAAACACAAATATACAGTCAACGATTATCTTAAATAATTGTTTAGTTACTTTTACCACATATATGGTAATTTCTCATTCACAAATATATGAGATTTAATATTCATATAGTTACATCTGTCATCAAATATTCTGGTAATATTGACTATATAAAAGAGTTACTTCATCTACCATTTTATATTTGTATCCATACAATAATTTTAGTTTAACTTACTATAATTCTTAGTAAAAATATTATATGGTTGGTTATACTATGCCTATATTGTAATTATTACCGATATTATGGTAATAATTACTATAAATATGATATTTCGGACTATAATTTAGTTTAGTTTAGTTACTATAGTTTAGTTACTATATCATTATAGTTCCAAATATCATATACTTTTCTCTCAGTGTATGTACGGAGTAGATAATTAAATTAATACTGTTTCTTTCTTAACAGTGATAGAAGATGACGTAATAATTTTAATATCGACAGGTGAAGAAGCTGCAAAATAAAGTTTCAAGCTTTAAAGGAATTATTTACAACTCTGGAAGTGATGGAATATCTAAGAAGCAGATTGATGGATCCTGTCGCGAATATGTGGCTGTTTATTAATATCAATTAAAGACTGGAAACGAGCGAAGATATCGATAAGATACACTGTGCTTGTTAATCCCGTAAGTTTCTCGCGAAAGATGTACACGCAAAGATAGAAGGTAAAACGGATAAATGTTTCTTTTCAGCTGACAATAATATTGCAAGATGTAATGAGAGGTAGTGTCGGCGCGATAGCGGACACTCGATAGATGATTGGATGAAGTCGAGAATGAAATCGCCAAGACGGGACAAGAATTCAGCGAAATTCATGTGATCGCCGACAGTTTAATTGAAAATAATCTAGTTACTGCTGATAATCGTGCAGATGTTACACGAGAACCCGTGGTAATAGCAGAAATCGCAGCGACCGACGAAGCGATCGTACCATTCCGCAAAAATGGAGAAACGACGGAGAAGTTAGCAAAGCAGCAGCCGATGTTCCACGGCGAACGAATGCGGATAACAAGCTTTTATATTAGATTGTGATAACTATATCAACCGCTTGTAATCGTGTGATATGGCTGAGGGGAAAATACCGAAAATAATTAACTGATTAGAGATGTACTTAGAAACTACAGATATAGCAAACATCCGCTACGACGTAGCTGCATTGAAAACGGATACGGCTAAAATACAACGGGAACTGCGAGATCTCTGATTTCTTTTTGTTTTATATTGTTCTATTCTTCTTGTAAAGCTTCTTGTGTTGCTAACGTTTGAATGTGTAATAAGAGAATTTCTTTTAATAATTATCAGATAATACATTTTTCACTATTGGATATATTGCAAAACTCATCGACGTAAAAATTATTTGTTTAGTCATTAATGGTCTATTTACTAATAGTACTATTCATCAGTACTATACATTTTTCAAACACTAATTTTGTTCCGTACGACATGTGCGCCGGGCTACTTCCGCCGGCACCCCGCGCTTAGTACCAACCGCGGCCGTTACACGGCACGCCCCGCGATTCCGCTGCTCGCAGGCAAGAATTCGGCTGGCCGAGGATATAATCGGGCGCAACTGCGAGCCTCGCGCCTTCGCATGGCCCAACGCCGATTGTGGCAAATCTACGTACCAGCTCGGTATGACATATCCACCGTTCTCTTCTTTACCGACGGTGTCGTCTCTCTAGACTTTCCTAGAGCGACCTTTTCTTATAATTTGGATTCAAACCACCGCTCTATACACTCTGCTGAGTTGAAGGCGGCGCCGATATACCCTGCTGGGTTAAGGCTAATGGTTCGGATCTTGGTGAATTCAAATTTACATGTTTGCGGCGTTGCCGCGCATAGTCTCAGGAGCAGCTCGGCCGCCTTAAAGCTTCGAGCTCAACTTCCCAAGCGTCCGCGCGAGACTTTGGTGATTTTTCAGAAGTGGCGGCTCCAGCCGCTCCTTTAGAACTTCGAGCTTCTCGTTCCAAGCGTCCTCGGGACCTTGGCTCCTTTGTCAGGAGCGACTCCGGTCGTCTCCTTTTTAGAGCTTTGATATAGACATACAGTATGAACTGCGCTCAGGATAGGAAAATATATATGCAACAATGTGGTTAATGTACGTTGTATTAACATTTCTAAATACCGAAGGCGCACATAATAGTTGTGATCCAAAGTAATACTTGAAGAAACCTTAAGAGTTTTACCGATTTTATGTATGTCAACAGTATTGTCGTTTTGAGACTTAAAAACTGGTTTATCGAGAATAACTTTCGAAGTTTGTAATGAACAAGTATCATCTTAAGGTAGACAGTTTGCATTAGCTGATCCTCCGATTTGTGCAATAATCAATAACTACTTGAATGCAGATTGAAATTGTTCGGCAGTCAGATTATTGCATCTGCCTTGAGATCTAATGGTTGAGAAGAAGAGCTCGACATGATCTTGAGAGAGTTTGTATGTCAGCAAATACTTTCTGAAGCTGACCATTTATCGAATATAGTGACATTTTCTGAAGAGGTCATAAGACCAAAGAAACCCGTTTTTTGTTTTAACTCCAAAATCAGTTTATCACCATCTCTAAGTGTACTGATGTAAGTTTTGTATAACCAAATATTTGATCAGATTTTGGCAACATTTTATTTATGCATTGCTTACTGGGGGGAACCTTTGTTATTAGGTCAATCGGAAAGTTCCGTCCGTTTTCATGCAAAACGTATGGCTTTATTTAAGAAACAGAATGAAAAAGTACATCAATCAAAGTATTGTCCATCGTTAGCGATGATTTTTTCCCATCTTTCGGTCAGCAAACGAATTCCGCGGTGAAAGAATAACTCATCTTTGGAGGCTATCCAGTCAGAAACCCATTTTTCGACGTTTTCATAAGAATTGAAGCATTCCTCAGTAAGTATGTATGCCATCGACCGAAACAAGTGGTAGTCGGAAGGGACACAGTCTGGTGAATAAGCCGCATGA